GGGTCATCGGGGGCTCTCGCAGCTCTGTGGGGTCGGAAGGGGGGGGGTAGGGCCGGGTTTGGGGGACGGGGAGCGGGATCGGCTGCGGGAATTTGGGATTTATGGATTTTATCGGAATTATTGAACAGGAACGAATGGCTGCAAACCAGGCCCTGGGAACCCTCCCTCCTCTTCCTCCCTTTTCAGCCTTCAAATCCCTCCGGATCGGGCGGGGTGCGAAGGGTTGGTGCCTGTTTCCCCCCACCCCCACTGGTGTTTTTTCGGGAATTCTTGGCTCAGGTGGGAATTGTGTCATTTTGGGGTTCCTGGACCCGTTCCTGCCCTGTTCGCCCCAGTCCCGCTCACGCGGGGGCCCCGAAACGAGCCCGGGAGGTGCCGAAGGGACACGGGAGGAGGGTCCTGGGCGCGCCCCCCACCCCCCAGCTGCTTTGTGCCACGAGCTTTGACGATCAATAATGGAAGAAGCCAAAAAAGGACCCCTCGAGTACCTGTGTAGTATCTTACCAGTCCATATCGAGCGTATACGCACCCATATATCGTAGAGCGGCCGCCGCGGGTCTGACCGACCCCCGCGCCCCCGAGGGACCCCCGCCCGCCCGGGCTCCTGTGAGCGGGTCCTCACAGCCCCGCGGGGCCCGGGGCCGCGGGGGGACCCGGGGGACACGTCCCAGCGCCCCCAGCCCTCGGCCGTGTCATACCAAACATGTAACGTGCCTTTTATTTATGCTGCAAATATAACATTAAAATATTACCCAGGAGCCGCGGGCTGCTGCCCTTTGTGGGGTGAGGAACGGGGACACCCCGCTTTGCCCCACGGGCACCCCTGCGTGTCCCGGCCGTCCACGGTGCGGGTGGCACCGGCTGGGCCCGGGACGGCGGGGGAGCTGCTTGTGGGGACAGCGCAGTGTCGCGGGGCGCCCTCGGGTGCGTTTTTTGGGGCGATTTCGGCTGGTTTGGGGTCCGGGGCCGTCGGGGCTGCAGGAGCGCGCAGCGGCCACCGGGTGGCGACAGCGAGACGCGGCCGAGCGGGGGGGAC